ACCCACTCGGGCAGGCGGCGGGCACCTGCTGGGCGAAACAGCAGTAAAAGTCATGGGGCTCCCCTTCACCCTGTGCCCCTCACCACCCCAGCTCCAGGAATGTTGCCAGCGCCTGTGCTGGACCCCAGATTCAGCCACAGGCTCGCAGCCTGCTCTGATGCCACCAGCACCCTGGGCAGTCCCTTACCTGCCCTCCGGAGACCTGCAGCCTCCGTGGGGCACAGGGGGCAGTCGGCCACGCGAGGAGCATCCACCGCACACAGGTCACCATCCTCTTCCTCTGTCCAGCCACAGCCTTGCAGCCTGCTCTGATGCCACCAGCACCCTGGGCAGTCCCTTACCTGCCCTCCGGAGACCTGCAGCCTCCGTGGGGCACAGGGGGCAGTCGGCCACGCGAGGAGCATCCACCGCACACAGGTCACCATCCTCTTCCTCTGTAGGAACAAGAGCTGTGGTTCTTCAGCCAAAATGTGCTTGGAGTCAGCCCCATGGCGAACACCTCCATGGCCAGGGTGTGGGCAGCCCCTGGCCAGGGAATGCCAGCAATCCTGGCTGAGCACCATCTCTTTGCCTGGTGCCATGTCCCCATCTCACTGAGCAGGGCAGAGAGGAGCCTTGCCCCACGTCCCATGTCCCCAAGGGTTACTCACGGCTGGCACCTGTCTCCTCTGAGGGCTCCACCTGTGAGGCGACAATCTTGAAGACAGTTTTCAAGATGCTCCTCAGGTCACTGGCAAAGTTGGTCTGGAGTTGGTCAGCCACCCCTGTGCCAGAAGGGAGGGGAGTCAGGGTGTTGGGTGGTCAGGGTGCTGCAAGGGGCAACAAGGGGGCCACTTACCTGAAATGCAGACGAAGAGGGTGTGCAGCATGTCCTTGGTGCTGCTGTAGCGGGAGCGCAGCTCCCAGCAGTGAGCACTTAGGGTGGCATCGAGCCCTGGGCTGCTCCCGAGGGACTGGGGACTGCACAGAGGGAGAGGTGACAGTTACCCTGGGGGTGGCATGAACAGTCCTCATCCCAGCAGGCAGGGATCTTCTATCCCAGCCTCGCTCCTTCCCCTCCACACACCCCCACTGCCAGGCACTGCCCAGGTCATCCACAGCACCAGGGGGTCCCAGCTGCACCATGCAGGTGGAGGGCGGTGAGGTGGGATGGGGGACCTCTAGGACAGTCCAGGGAGCAGAGGGCTCTGCTCTGGGTACAGCTGCCTCCCAAGCTGGGGGGGTGGCCCGACTGCAGGAGTCCTCTGATTCTGCTGTGCAGAGGCTCCTCTCCAGCAGGCAGAGCTCCTCTGCTGACAGCACCCGCAGCAGGTCCCTGCAGAGAGGTGACAGTGTCAGCCCCACATCACAGCCTCCCTGCTGCCCACGACCCCACCTGCGGGTGTCCATCACCCCCCACCTCCCCCTGCATACCTGATCTTCTTTAGGAGGTTGTAAAAAGGGCTGAACACCTGGGACATCTGCTCAGGGCTCTGCTCCAGGCTGAGGGGACCATCAGGGTAGATAAGGAGGCCACTGCAAGGGGATAGAGCCTGACTTGTACAGGGGGGGCTGCCCAGGACCCCAACTCCCCAAGGGGTGAAGGGGCTGCTACAGGGTGAGAAGCAGCCACCTGCCCCCAGTCTCCCCCATCACCTGGAGGCTGCACCCACCTGATAATGGCCAGGCGAGGGATGGTGAACATCAGTAGCGGTTCGTAGCCATCGATCATCTCCTGGGTCAGGTAACCCATGTGCAGGGCTCTGGGGGAAACACAGCCTTACAGCAGGGCTAAGCCCCAGGATGCTGCCCTATCCCTGGGGCTGGGGTCCCTGCTGCCTCTTGCCTGGTGTGCAGTGCCCCTCACCTTTCTACTGTCTCACAAAAGAGCACGATGATCTCCTGCTGCCTGTAGATCTCCTCAGGAGACTTCACCGCCACCAGTGAGGACACATAGCTGGAGAGCCAGGGGAACCATGAGGTTCCTCCAGCCCTGGCACAGCCCCCCCCCCCCACTGCAGCACCCCCAGCCTGGCCCCCACCTCAGTTCAAACTCTGCAAAGAGCCGGTCGAATTGGATGAGCACAGCCCGAACAGGCTCTGGGTAGGAGCTGGGCTGGCTCAGGCTCTGCTCCCGCAGCACCGTCCGCACCAGCTCCAGGCTGCACAGCAGGTTCCTGGCCTGGGGACGCAGCTGCGCCCCGTCTGCCTCCTCCACCTCCAGGAAGGTCCCAGCCAGGAGGCACTGTGGGAACCAAGAGGCTGTCAGGATCTGTACCCATGGCAGAGCAGCCCCTACCCCCAGAGCCAGCCCGTGGAGGGATGTGCCATCCTGGTTGGCATCCATAGCCTGAGGGAGTCAGGCCCCAAGCCCACCCTGGGCCAGCATCCCTGGGCCCACCTCGGCAGCAAAAAGCATGTGGTTCCCCAGGTTGTCCACCAAGAGCTCCTCGGGGAACTTGACTAGGTAGTCCCGGCTGTGCCGCTGTGTGGGGATGCACTCCTCCATGATGCGCTCCAGGATGGCCAGCAGGTGCGCCTGGGGAGGGCAGGGATGTCACCCAAGGAAGTCTGTGCTGACTGAGGTCACAGCATGGCCGAGGCCACCCCTGTACCTGGCTGAGGTGGAGCTGGTTGAGGAGCACCAGGTACTGCTGTGGGTCCAGCTCGGCATCCAGCCCGTTGATCTCGGCCACCACCCGCGTCACCCTCTCATCAGCAAAGAAGAACTGGGAGAGCAGGCGGGGGTCGGAGCGCTGCGGAGAGAGGGGAGGGATCATGGTGGGGCCCGGGCCAGGGGCGTCTCCCGTGTCCTGCAGCCAGGCGGGGTAGGGACTGCTGGGGTTTGCTCCATGGAGCAGCTTCTGATCCATGAATACCCACTAAGGCAGGTACGTGGGACCCC